GCTTCCATATAACTGATTGAGCGGAAATTCCATAACTTTGGTGTTTGTAAAGTTAAGAAGTTGGGATTTTCTATGGGTTTTATATTTGGCCAATTAATCTGACTCACCAAATTTCAAAAGGATCGGCCGACTTGTAATGTTAGGAATTTGAGATTTTCTATGGGATTAATTTTTGGCCAATCAATCCGACATACCAAATTTCAAAAGGATCGGCCGACTGCATTCTATAGCTGCCATATTACTGACCGATTGCAAACGCAATAACTTTGGTGCTTTTATACCCGTTACTCGTAGAGTAAAAGGGTATATTGTATTCGTGCAAAAGTTTGTAACAGGTAGAAGGAAGCGTTTCCGACCCTATAAAGTATATATATTCTTGTTCAGGATCACTAGCCGAGTCGATCTAGCCATGTCCGTCTGTCCGTCTGTCTGTCCGTATGAACGCTGAGATCTCGGAAACTATTAAATCTAGAAGATTGGCATTTTGCATGTATTTTAGGAGTTCTACGCAGCGCAAGATTGTTTCAAAATTATGAAAATTATTTCACTATTATGAAAATTTTAATTGATATGTATTTGTTTCGTCAATACCTATCGATTGGCCTAATAAAAGTTTGCCACGCCCACTCTAACGCCCAAAAACCCATTAAACGCTTAAGCCCGGCTAGCGCCTACATTTCCGCCTTTCATGGCCCGTGGTACCAATGTCTTGGGATAGATGGCGCAATACAATAGCGCCATCTAACGGATGACTTTGGAACAGATGGCCAAGGTGTTTAGCTGAGTAACGGGTATCTAATAGTCGAGGCACTCGACCATAGCGTTCTCTCTTGTTAAAGTTAGGAAGTTGGGATTTTTATGACCACAAAGTAAGACGTCGAAAAAATCCTCCATCCCAGGGTAACGCCCTCCCCCAAAAATCCCCTACAAAAAGGACTACTGTTCGATCGGAAGTCGTGTGAGCCTTGTCTTTTTTTTATAGTTTGTTGAACACGTCACACAAGGATGGACCTTGTTTTCGTGTATTGACAAATTATTTCTAAAGATCCCAAAAAAATCGGGTACTCCATTCTTGGGCAAATCAGGTGTGGTCATACGCAAATGTCACCATTGGTCATTCTCGACAGCAAACTCAACAGGGTGGCCGACCCCAGTTGCAGCAACCTGCGAACCAGCCCCAGAATCAATCAGCCACAAACCATACAGACGACAGCCCTTGACCAACAACAATACCCAGAAACCCCAACGAAATCTCCAGCAATTCCAAAACGATCAGCAATCGAAACGACAAGAACAAATGTATTTACGATCTGAAGAAAAACTGTCTGACCTCGTTGCTCGGTTTGACACAATGCTCCAGATGATGATGTCAATGATGTTCCTTATAACCAACCTCTTACCCCAAATAGTGTCAGGATCTGAACAAGCAGTCACTGGTCTCCACTCTGCCTTTCCAGTCACTCGAGATGGAGCTTTTTGTAAAGCAACATCATATTGACGTTATGTTGGTCAGCGAAACCCACTTATGCTCTAAGTCACACTACCAGCTAAGGGGATATGACGTTCATTTGTCAAACCATCCTGCTGATCGCGGAGGATCCGCAATTATCATCAAATGGCAAAACATGTTCTCTGGTATATTGTCATTAACAAAGAACATAAAAACGCTACGTGTTCACCATGGCTCTATCTGCCAGCAGAGCTCCGGCAGAGACCGTTACGTACTGTATAAATCCGCGGTGGGCACACATCTATAGACAAGTTTCACCGTCAAAGTAGAAAGTTCATAAAATAATCGATTTAATGGGAGAATGTTAAGTTGAGTATAAGCCATAAAATTAATTTGGTTTTATACGTGTAGTTTTTAAAGTATCAACGAACTAATTTCTATAAAGTGTGTGGCAAGGTTTAAGAAGATTATATATATACTAAACTTAGTAACAAAAATCGTTTTACCAGAACTCGACAAAAAAATTTAAAAAACATGACAAATTGCACTGTGAACTTAATTTAGACTTTTTAAAAAACATTCAAAAATGTTGAGTGCAATTTATTAAGTCAGGGAGTTCACCTGCACCGGAATACCAAACATTTCTAGAAACTTCCCAATTCCCAAATATTTGGAAGGAATCATTTGTTATTCCTCCTCAAAAAAGGTAAAAAGTTAGAAGCCAGTAACTATAGAGGTATTTCTAAGTTGTCAGCTATTCCGAAGCTTTTTGAAAAATCATTACTCCTCATTTGCAGCACCTTTGTAGATCAATCATTTCTCCGAGTCAACACGGATTTATTAAATCACAAACCTTCTAGATCTCTCTACATTTGTGATAAGAGGCTTCAATAGTAGTTTTCCAACAGACGTCATTTACACTGACTTTAGTAAAGCATTTGACTCTGTAAATCACTTACTTCTTGATTAATTTACCCTCCCTAGCCAACCGTAGTACGATGCTTGGTACTGTCTTCATTTATAACCTTATACATGGTCATATTGACTGCCCCGACTTGGTAAGTCGGCTAAACTTTTCTGTGCCAAGTAGATTAACTAGAAATTATATTCCCCTAATATTAAATCATTGTAGATATAACTATGCCTTCCATGAGCCTTTCAGAGTATTATGTTCTGACTATAATATACTTTTTCGTATAATCTCAAATCTTGACTCTCTGCCGCTCCTAAAACGATTAATACTAGCATCATTGGCACAAAATTGATCTTACTATTACTTTTTTCCCCGGACTTTTACCTATATTTTATTAACTCGCGGGTAAGTGGGCCGTGGGACTCCGCGAGAAAAAAAAAAGTGTGGTCAGAGGTGAGGAAACTCCAGTTCAATCGTCTGAGCTACCAAAAGGTATTAACTCTAAATAATATTAAATTGGGGCAAATATAATGTATAATGTATTTGTGCTGATATATATAGTTTTTACACCCTTCAGAGGGTATTATCAAAGACATTAGAATATATGATTATATTGGTCTTTGGTATTATAGTTTCAATCAAAAGTTTGCAACGCAGTGAAGGAGACATTTCCGACCCTATAAAGTATATATATTCTTGATCAGTATCACAAGTCGGTCGATCTAGCTCTGTCCGTCCGTCCGTCTGTCCGTCCGACAGTCCGTCCGTCCGTCCGTTTCTACGCAATCTAGTCCCTCAGTTTTAAAGCTATCTGCTTGAAACTTTCCCAAAAGTTGTCTTTCTATTGCAGGTAGTATATAAGTCGGAACGGAATGAAGCAAACAATGGCAAGCCGAAGTTTATATACCCTTTCAGTTATTACAAAACTACTAAATTTCAATTTATATGCCTGTATTACTAAAAACTATGAAGCTAAGTCGATTTTGCCGTGCATTTTGCCATCGTTTCTATGGCAGCTATATGATATTGTTGTCCGATTTTACCAAAACTAAAAGCTTAATTCTGATATAGTAAATAATTACTATACCTCAAAAGAATATTTTGATAAATAAAAAAACAGAAAAATACAATTTAAAAATTTGTTTTTTTAAATGTTTTGATTTTCCTATGGTTGTTATTTGTAATAACTGCAAGGGCTTCCTTTCCTGTTTTTCAATAAAATATATCCATGGATAAAATATGAGACTTCAGTTAATTCGACTTACATTTTCTTTTTGATTTATTTAACACAACTGCAGAATAACAAAATTGAAAACATTACATTATCTGAAGTTTAGGATCAGTGAGGTTTACAATACCTTTCTACTGATCTATACCTATTTTAATGCCACAAACCGGAACACAAATTTGATCCTAATGGTTAAAACCAATTAACATTTAAGTATTTAACATTCGAAAAAGCCATAATAAATATATATAAATAACATTCGAATCCGAGCTAATCCAGCTAAACTTAAATAATACAAGAATGTATAATGCAGAATATTCTGTAAATTATATTCTCCAAAATTATTCATATGATGCATTCTTAATACTCATAAAAAATACCAAATTCCTAACTTTAAAAACACCAAAGTTATGGCATTTTCGATCAATCAGTTATATGGCAGCTATAAGATATAGTCGACCGATCCTTATGAAATTTGGTAGGTCGGATTGATTGGCCAAAAAAAACCCAAAGAAAATCCCAACTTCCTAACTTTACAAACACCAAAGTTATGGCATTTCTGATCAATCAGTTATATGGCGGCTATAGGATATAGTCGGTCGATCCTTATGAAATATAAAACCCAAAAAAAATCCCAACTTCCTCACTTTAATAACATCAGTTATGTCATTTCCGATCGTTCAGTTATATGGCAGCTATATGGTATAGTCGCCCGACCCGGCTCGTTCCGAATTATATACTACCTGCAATAGAAAGACAACTTTTAAGAAAGTTTCAAGCAGATAGCTTTAAAACTGAGGGTCTAGTTTGCGTAGAAACGGACGGACGGACAGACGGACATGGCTAGATCGACTCTCCTGGTGCTGCTGATCAAGAATATATTTAATTTATAGAGTCGGAAAAATCGTTCGCGTAAAAACAGACAGACGGACAGACGGACATGCTTATATCAACTCAGGACGCGATCCTGATCAAGAATATATATACTTTATAGGGTCGGAAATGCCTCCTTCACTGCGTTGCAAACTTTTGACTGAAATTATAATACTCTCTGCAAGGGTATACAAATTACAAACATTTTGATTTTATTGTGCGTTGGCGAGCTTACTGTTGACAAACTTTTATACCATGTATATTTATTTATATTATTTTAAATTCTCTATATCTTGCCGAATCACAAAAAGGGAAGAAAACCATTTTTAGACAAAACGTAAACAAATAAAATTCCCATTGTTTGTTGACATTTTTTCAGAAAAATAGTATAGTTTGCGTAGAAACGGACAAACGGATGGACTGACAGACTGACTTGGCTAGGGACGGAAATGTGCCCTTCACGGCGTTACAAAATTTTAATGAAATTATAATACCCTCTGTAAGGGTATAACAATGAATTTAAATATTAAACTTACTTCGAAAGCGTATCGCAGACCGTCCCAAGGCTTAATGGGCATTTCTCCAGCCATTCGTAAGCCCAATAGATCCCAATTGGTGTAGTTATGTATATATTCAACCAATCCTGCAGGTGTTACCTCATGCAGGCCTTCTATGTTAAAATCAGCAGGAAATCCATTAAGGAAGGTAATATTGTGCCCTCTGAAATCACGAAACGGTTATTTAATAGCTAGCTTATATAAAGACAATTAAATCAAGTATTTTCGGATTAATGAGCTTGTAAGCATGGCTAGTAAAAGGAATATATAGTAACATACCTACACCCACATATCTACCACATAAACATATTTACATTATGCATTTGTCACACCCAAAATCATCGGCTCCCAAGAGTCGCCAATTAATATAAACATCCTCTTCAGTTATAAACAAATGAAAGAACCCCAAATTGTCGGCTCCCACGACTGACCAATTTATGTAAACATCCTCTTGCATTATAAACAAATGTCCCCAAACTCCAAAAAGCTTTTATCCCCCAATACTGTAAAATTGCAGACGCAGCTCAAACATAGATCGCTCTCTTGCTCAGTGCTCTCATTTTGGACACTCTCAATTTATCAATAAAGTTCTTTCTCCCAATCGAAGGTTTGATAAGCGCCAGCTTAGTTTTTAAGTTAGAGTTTTAAGTTGAATCTTGTAAGGAGCAGACCATGATACAATAACATAAGGTAGTCTCGTCGGCAAAATTTTGGTACCCTACTATTATAACAATGAGTGCGAGTGAGATGGGAACTGTTTAGTAAGTGCGAGCAGAGCGACAATAGAATGTGTGGATTAACTCTTAGATGGTTCAGAGGGTTTTTTTTTGCCTTTCATAATAAAAGGAGTTTAATTTTTTTTTATAATTTAATTTTTAATAATTTTGAATTTGAAATTAGGCGTTGTTTTTGTCTCTGAATACTGAGTCTTTTGTTAAGATTCTTAATTCTAAAATATATTCTAATCTTAAAATAACAAAGAATGTATGTTAGTATAAGTTTAGACATAAAAACGTATACTAACATTTTCGGCTGCGATTATTAAAGTTTCGTTTACACTCTTTGTTATTTTAAAAGTATCGTCTTTTTCATTTCTTTGTTATGTTAAGGGTTATTCTAAAACAGTCCGACCTTTCCTTCGAAAGCCACGCCTAACCGTTTAGGCCAAACATTTCGGTGCCTTTACGCCATCGAACGTGTAATTATATTCTCCAAAATGATTCATATGATGCATTCTTAATACTCATAAAAAGTCCCAACTTCATAACTTTAAAAACACCAAAGTTATGGCTTTTCCGATCGTTCAGTTATATGGCAGCTATATGATATAGTCGCCCGATCTGGCTCGTTCCGACTTATATACTACCTGCAATAGAAAGACAACTTTTGGGAAAGTTTCAAGCAGATAGCTTTAAAACTGAGGGACTAGTTTGCGTAGAAACGGACGGACGGACGGACAGACGGACAGACGGACATGGCTAGATCGACTCTCCTGGTGCTGCTGATCAAGAATATATATAATTTATAGAGTCGGAAAAATCGTTCGCGTAAAAACAGACAGACGGACAGACGGACATGCTTATATCAACTCAGGACGCGATCCTGATCAAGAATATGTATACTTTATAGGGTCGGAAATGTCTCCTTCACTGCGTTGCAAACTTTTGACTGAAATTATAATACCCTCTGCAAGGGTATAAAAACTATATTTTTTTCAAAGTGTTAAATTCCGAATTTTTTATTGGCGCAGCCGGTAGGATATAACTTTTTATACGGTTATATCCTTAAAGAACCCAAACGTCGTTCGTCCCAGTGCAATTATAAACCAGCTATCGCAGTGTCGGTTTGTGTCGCTAATATACGAACGGAAACCTCAATTTTGCAACACGCTATCGAAGCTCAGGTTGCGAGGTTTTTTTTAACAAAACATAAATCTTGACCCGTGTGACTGTCAAGTAACTAAAACAAAAAAACAAAATAATAAAAACAAATTTTTGCAAAAACCCGTTTTATTGTATCAAAAAAATAAAACACCTTAATTCTCCCCCACCAGTGGTAAGAGCCAAGGTATAACAATTTTAAATCAAATTCATAATACAAAACTTTTAAAATTGTGAAAAATTTATAAAACTAAATAAAAAACCAAAAATGGCAGAACCAGTGCTATTATTGTCAGAAAACCATCTAAATCAAGCCCTGAACCAAATCAGGCAAGTGCCGCAAATTGGAGGCACCACGCTCGAACTCAGCCCGTTCAACAGGAGGATAGACTTCATCCTGGAGTTGTACCCCACAACATGTATACGCCAGTCGATCGTATTCTTTAGTGCGATTGAAATGCAGCTTCACGGAGATGCCCAGAGGATATCTCAATTATCAACAGCCAGATGCTGGAGGGATTTAAGGAACGCCCTCATCAACGAATATAAAACTCAGACGCCCTGCGAAGAACTACTAAGACGTCTGTATAACACCCCCTTTCCTGGGTGTATACGTAAGTTCGTTGAGGACATTGAGTCCAAATCTTTTGTAATATTAAATAAATTAGCCTTAGAAAATAACGCTTCAAATACAATTTTATACACAAATGCTCTTAATAATAAAGTTAAAGATGTTATTATGAACAAATTGCCATACAGACTTTTTATGACATTGGCTAGGTATGATATTACTAATGCTAATAAACTAAAATGTGTAGCACAAAAAGAAGGTTGTTATGAAACATTTTATTCAGATCGAACAAAGAATTCACAAAGTCAAAACCAAGATAAGAGAAATTATCAACCCCAACAAAATACTAATAAACAACAAAATGGGGCTAATGAAATAGAAACCCTTACATACGAATCATCATGAATAACCAAGAGTTCTGATGTGTTGTACACACAGGCTCTTCTATTAATTTAATTAAAGAAAATTACTTTCATTTTCCAACCAAAAATACACCTCTTAAAGTTCATACCATAAATGGTAATATTCAGTTAAATAAATCCGTGTCCTACCATGCAAGTAAGCTTTATACGACCAACCACACATTTTGGGTCCATAATTTTTCCGATAGATATGATATGCTCATAGGAAGAGAATATCTCGAAGCTTGTAACGCAATTATTAATTATAAATCAAAAACAGTTAATTTAAACGGTTATCAATTCGGAATGAGATTTAATTATAACGATTTCGAATATAAACAAAGAGAAGCAGAAATTGATTGCTGCGATCCCCCATTTTCAACAGATACACCTTTTAATTTTGCAATAAATAACGACTTGCAAGAAACCAATAAGTTTAGATTAGAACACCTTAATGACGAGGAAAAAGATAATCTTAAGAAAATTTTATATGAATTTAGCGACATACAGTACAAAGAAAGTGACAATTTGACTTTCACTAGTACTATCAAGCATGTCATTCATACAAAAAATGAGCAACCGGTTTACAAAAAACCATACAAATATCCTCAAGCTTACGACCAAGAAGTCGATTCGCAAATGAGAGATATGATAAAACAGGGAATAATTCGAAAGTCAAATTCCCCTTATTGCTCACCTATTTGGATAGTACCTAAGAAAGGTGATGCATCAGGAACAAAAAAGTTCCGTATCGTAATTGACTATCGTAATTTAAATGAAATTACGGTAGATGACAAATACCCTATCCCGGTCATGGATGAAATATTGGACAAACTTGGTAGATGCCAATATTTTACCACTATTGACCTTGCAAAAGGTTTTCACCAAATACAAATGGATGAAAATTCTATTCCAAAGACAGCTTTTTCCACCAAAAATGGCCATTATGAATATACTCGAATGCCCTTTGGATTGAAAAATGCCCCTGCTACCTTTCAAAGGTGCATGAACAATCTCTTAGAAGACTTGATCTACAAGGATTGTTTGGTCTACATGGACGATATTATCGTGTACTCCACTTCATTGGAGGAACATGTATTATCTTTGCGAAAGGTATTTGAAAAATTACGAGAAGCTAATCTCAAGCTTCAACTCGACAAATGCGAGTTTATGAAAAAGGAAACAGAACTCCTTGGACATATTATAACAACAACTGGTATAAAACCAAATCCTCTCAAAATAGAGGCAATACAAAATTTCCCTATACCCAAATCCCCAAAACAAATAAAATCCTTTTTAGGTCTTTGTGGATTTTATAGGAAATTTATCCCAAAGTTTGCTAAAATAGCAAAACCAATGACAGCAAAGCTTAAAAAAGGCGTAACTTTAAATATAAAAGATAATGACTATGTACAAGCGTTTGAAAAACTTAAACTTTTAATAATGTCCGATCCAATACTTATATACCCAAAATTTTGAAAAACCATTTTCATTAACAACAGATGCAAGTAATATTGCTATAGGAGCAGTATTATCGCAAAATCATAAACCAATCTGTTATGCCAGCAGAACTCTTAATGAACACGAAATTAATTATTCGGCAATAGAAAAAGAACTTTTAGCTATTGTCTGGGCCACCAAATATTTCAGGTCCTATCTTTTTGGCAGAAAATTTCTGATCCTAAGTGATCACAGGCCTCTAGTATGGCTCAATAATATTAAAGAACCTAATATGAAATTACAACGCTGGAAAATCAAACTAAATGAGTTTGATTATGAAATAAAATATTTGCCCGGTAAAGAAAACCATGTGGCAGACGCCTTATCTAGAATAAGAATAGAGGAAGGCTATTTAGGAGAGACTTCCAGTAATTCAAATACAATAACAACAGTAGCTACAGTGCATAGTGCACCAGAAGATAACCAAAACCACATTTCAATAACAGCAAGACTACTGAATTATTATAACAAACATCTAGAATTTAAAAGAGGAGACTTAAATGAAGTCGAAGTAATAAATTATTTTCATAAAACAAAAATCATAATAACATATAAAGAGATGACAATAGAATACGCAAAACAATTAATAATTGAATACTTTTCTAATAAGAAAAGCGTAATATACTTTCCAATTGAAACAGACTTTTTAATTTTTCAAAAGGCATACGTTGAAATTATTTCCCCAGATAACTTAACTAAAACAATGAAAACTAATAGTAAATTAATAGATATTAACACTTACGCAGAATTCAAAGAAATTATTATTAAAACACACAGAGAACTATTACATCCAGGAATAGAAAAACAAACA